TTGGGCGTGATGTAGTATGGTAGGGAGCAGCAGGGCCAGCCTAGTCACCACAATTTTTGAAAGTATTTTGGTGTCAACATTAATTAGAGAGATAGGTCGGTAAGATCCTGGTAGCAGTGGGTCTTTTCCCTTCTTAGCTATGAGTTTGATATGTGCCTGGGAGCTAGTTGGGAGATAAGGGCCAACCTCCCACATTGCCTTGTAGACATGTTACAGCGTGCCTGGGATGAAGTCTGAAGTTAGAACTCGGCACTAAGGCCATCAGGTTTGGGAGCCTTAGCTGAGGGTAGATGTTTCATAGTGGCACGAATGTCGTCTGATGTGATGGGAGCATTTAAAGCATGTAGCTGGGATCTGGTAAGTTTAGGCAGATTTACAGAGGCTAAAAAGTCTTCCGCGGCTCTAGAATTAATCGGATCCTCTGAATACAGAGAGGTGTAGTAAGATGTGAGGAGTTCAATACTATCAGAGGGTGATGTAAGAAAATTTCCCGTGGGAGTCTGGAGTGCGGAGATATAGGTAGGGGTACGGGAGCCCAAACAAAGCCACGCCAACAAGTTACCAGCCTTATTGCCATATCTATAAAATTTTAGGGTGGAGTAGGCCGATTTGGCTGCCTCCTGATGCTCATCCCATTAATCAAAGGCTCATTTAGCAGAGTGCCAGTTCAGCTTGTTCGCTGGAGTGCGGTTTGAGGGAGAGCGCGATATGTGCTTCACAAAGGGATTAACTAACCTGTTGATAATTCAAGTAGGGCTCAAGAAGCAAAAAGCTAAAGAAAAGGTAATAAACGATCTTTCTGTTGAGATCTCTAGACTAGAGTCACTACATAAGCACTCTATCTACCCAAACAGCAACGAATCTACTAAAGGCCAGAGTAGAACTACGAAACCTCTTAGACAGACAATCTAAACGTGTACTCTACTTTAAAAAAAAAAGCATTTTTTTACAAACATGGTGATAAAAGTGGAAGGTTTCTTGCTAGAGTTCTGAAAGATGCCAAGTCACTTGAAAACATTCTCTGTAATAAAGCCTTGGATGGTAGTATGGAACATGCCACTGATAAAATTGCAAAAAGATTTCACAAATTTTATTCTAACTTGTATAATTTACCACGGGCAACACAAACCCAGCTCCCTACAAAGCAACAGAAAACAAATTATTCTAGACTTTCTCAGAGTAACATGCCAAAATTAACACAATACGATATCGGAGCTCTTGAAAAGAGAAGAAGAAGGAGCTCTTGAAAGAGAAGAAGAACTAACCTCGGCGATCAAAGACCTAAATCAGGGAAAAGCCCAGAGCCAAATGGCTTTACTTCCCAATACTATAAAGCATTTATAGACCCACCTAAATCACTACTTTTACAGGCCCTACATTCACTAAGCAGTCATCAAAAGGTTTCCGACTCTTTCCTGTCGGCCCATATCACAATCATCCCAAAAGAAAATAAAGGCCAATTTCCCTTCTCAATAGCTATTTTCTAAATCCCTTCTCTATAACTATTAGCCAAACTTATTGCCAAACGGCTATGGCCCCTACTTAAAAAAACTTATTGGACCAGAGCAGGTTGGCTTCATGCCTGGCAGGGAAGCAAGGGACAATATTATAAAAGCATTAAATCTCATACATAGGGCCAAGTTAGGAGATATAAAAGGCCTCCTCCTTTCAACAGATGCTGAAAAGGCCTTTGACAGTGTGGCATGGGAGTATATGATGGCTACTTGCACTCATATAGGCCTCAATCAAAAGATGATGTCTTGGATTCTCTCATTATATCAAGCCCCTTCTGCACAAATTCAGATTAATGGGACCCTATCTGATAAGTTCCACATTAAAAATGGCACGAGACAAGGATTTCCATTATCCCCCTTGTTATTTATCCTGACATTAGAACCTCTTATTCGTTTAATCAATGAAAACAAATCTATACAGGGATTCAAATTAAATGGGAAAGAATACAAAACTGCATTCTATGCGGGACGATCTACTTTTTTTCATCTCATACCCACATACATCCATACTGAACCTTTTGCACACCTTTCGGATATATGGAAACATATCCAATTTTAAAATAAATTATCACAAATCGGAGGCACTCAACCTCACATTGCCTAAAGAATCCCTGGACAATGCTCAAAAAGACTATTCCTTTAAATGGGAAAAAACTGCATTAAAATATTTAGGAGTCTGGATCACCCCACATTAGACAATCTATACACTGAGAATTTTATACCACTTCTCAGAAACATAGAAAATGATCTTGAGAAATGGGACTCAAAAAATTTCTCTTGGTTCTGTAGAGCAGCTATTGTTAAAATGACTAGTCTCCCAAGACTGCTCTATTGTATGCACGCTCTACCAATCAAAATACCAGGGATTTTTTTCAATCGGCTGCAACAGGCACAAAGGAAATTTGTTTGGGCTAAGAAGAAACCCCACTGTAGCAAACTAGCCCATCAGAGTTGGATGCGGAGTTCCCCTTTTCCTTTTCTTTTTATTGGAAGCATTCCTCAGTCCTACAGTCCCTACCCCCTCCCTTCCTGAGAGGCAAACGTTATATCCTGACAGATGAGGGGGTCAACCCAAGTTAAGGCATCCTCAGTCCGGTGCCAGGCAGTCTGCGAGTGTAACCTTTCTCACCTAAAATCATGATAAGGCCAGCTCATCAGAGCATTGGGAAGCACTGATCCCAGACCTTGTGTAGGCTCACCCATCATAAAAAACAGATAAGGCAGCTTCTCCCCGGACTTGAAAGAAGTTGAAACCTCACAGAACCTAACAGTAAAGATGTCAGAATGAAATGAACATTCCTCTAGTCAGGTTTTTTTTCCCCCTATGTTTCATGTCATGGATTATGACAGATGTTGGTTCTAATTCAGAGTTCTCCTGACCCCTCCCAAAACAGCGTAATGGCCAGTATTCAGAGCCACCCCCCTTGCAGAGGGATTTTTAAAAAGAGACAGGCTGGCAAGCCTAGGCTACACACATCTCCTGAGCTTAACATCGTAACAGAGGAGATCAAAGACCTTTCCTGCTCTGCACTTGGATCTGCTTACAAACCAAGGCATATTGGCAAGTAACTTAACCCTTTAACTTCCTTCCTATTATCTCTTTGCTGTACCTTTATATGCATATATATATATATATATAGTTACGTTTTCTTTGTAAATATTTTATTGCACCTGTTTGACTCTTTTAGTAATAAATCCTTCTTTCTGAAAGTGTTAAACTGTTTCTAAGCGCTTACTTGCAATTCACGAATTCCTGCCTTTGAAGAGACGCTACTGTGTTTGTTTAATCTTCTACCCAATCGGCCTGCGGTGACCGTATTGGACAGGCGACTTTTCAATCATTATAGTGTATATTTGATAACGGGAGTTTCCCAGTCTCCGACAAAAGTGGTGGTGGCAGTAGAGGGTTAGTTGCGTAATTAACCCAACCCAGTAACAAGCGCATTCAGGCTGCAGGCACCGATTGTAGCCCATTAGCTGGACAATCGCTGTGCAGGGTGTAGCTGGGTGGGGCCTTGTTACGCGCGTCACACCGTGGTTTTAGATCGGCCGGTCCTTCGGTCACGAGTTGGTGAGAAGGTCTGGGGTCTGACGCCGCAGGCGTGACATATTACTGTTAGTCACGGTCGTGCGATTGTCGCATGTTGGTGGCGGTGACCGTGCGATCGTGACACCCACAACCAATTTTTTTGATGGCCAGGTCCAAAATGGCATGAGGCCAGACTTTAAATTATATTATTTTGCCACCCATTTGACCAGAATAATAGATTGGCACTGTCACAGGGAAAATCTCTAATAATAAACAGAAACTCTCATTTCTAAAACCCCTTACACAGCTGAAATCCATTTGTCTCAAGGGTGTTAATATTTAAAAAAACACCTCTCTTGCTTACTCATGGCTGCGAAACAAAGTAAATGAACAAAAAGACAATTTTATGTATCTTTGGGAGAATTCCCTTGAAACTAACTTCTCTGATCAGCAACAGAAAAAATGCATGTATACTTGCACATAAGTGTTCTCTTAGCACAAGATTACAGGAAACCTCCTATAAGGTTCTTACTCACTGGTATGCCACTCCCACCAAATTACGTAAATGGTATCCCAACACATCTGATATTTGTTGGAGATACCAAATCGGCAAAGGCACTCTCCTACATATTTGGTGGCAATGTCCAAACCTTTCGGCATACTGGAAACAAGTTTGTGAGCTAATTATTAAGATTACAGATATCAAAATAACATTAGATGACGCATGCTGCTTATTGCACATCTCCCCCTTTTCACTCAATAAATACAAGAATTCCCTAACGAGACACCTACTTAACGCAGCAAAATCTTTAATTCCCAAATTCTGGAAATCAGCTTAAATTCCCACGCCTCGAGATTGGCTGTGAGAAGTGGATAATATTCATCATTTGGAGGAAACCTTGGCGATGACACATGAACGTCTGTCTAACTATCATAAAACCTGGTGTGCCTGGTTTGCATTCACTTACTCCGATTTATATAAAACTATCTCAGGTTCATAAGAGACCAATATACTGATGCTTTGTTTCTTTCTCTCTCTCTGACTATTACTTAAACGCACTGATTTTCAAGAAATGATGCCAATTTTATAAAAATTCACTGCATCATATGACCCTTTTATTCCCTTTCTTTATCTTGATATTTGACTGTCTCGTGTATTATATTTGAGTTAAAATCTTATGTTTTTTAGAATTAGAGCTATTTGAATTGTTTCATCACATTTCTAATCAGTTTTGTATAGTTCTGAACTCTATACACTGTTAAATCCGCATAAATATAATATGTATGGAAACAATTATTTCTGATATTCTTTGTTCAAAAAAACAAAAACAAATAAAACTTCTATTGTTAAAAAAAAAGAACATTTGAAAGTAGAAGTAAAGCCACCTATTTAATTGCTTCCCAAAAGAAGGTTTAAGCTGTTACTAAACTCACAACAGTAAAATCAGTTTGTGTATGCAATAAAGCATGCTTATTATACTCACTGTGGAACCTGAGGGGTCAATCATCTGCATTGTGTAAAAACACTGCTTGATCCTGTCTTCTCTGATCCTCCCCTTCTTCCAGTGTCCCCCTCCTATCTCCTGATAAGACATATCATGTGGAGACACTCTGCTTATGCTCAGCTTGGTGTGTATTGCTAGAGAGTTTTTTTTTCTTTCCCTTGGAAGAGTGCATGTGATCAGCACAGGGTCAGTCAGCACTGTCCAGACAGAGGTCAGGGGTTCTGCATCCTCCTACAGCAGAATTAAAACTCCTCCTATAAGCTTTAACCAGTGCTCAGCTGGACACTGATAGAAGTCACAAGAGTGATATATACTGCTGATGAGAAAAGGTATTTAACAGTTTATATTCTATTACAATAATAATAAGAAGAAGCTGAAGAAGAGCTGACAGAACGACCAGCAACTTATTTTCATGTAATATTTGTCCTACTGAGTACTGATGATATGATTGTGCTCTGCTAGGTCCAAGGAACATTTTTAACTCAGTACTGAAACATTACCCATACCTTGTGGAATAAAAGGGGGTACGCAGTGCCGCCACCTTCAGCACTCGATGCATGTAATGGCAACGGGTGCTGGGGTGTGCTGAAGGGACTATTGATGCTTACTGCTAGGGGATCTATTGTTGTTGGAGGGGATCTATTTTTGAGTGAGGGGTCTATTGTTGCTGGTGGGGGGATCTGTTGTTGCTAGGGGGGTCGTGTGTTTCTGGGGGGTCTTTTGTTACTGGGAAATAACTACTGTTGAGGGAGGGGGGTCTATTATTTATTATTTTCTTGTTATCACTAACAAACTCCAAATTACGTAGTACAACAATATGATGCTTGGTTCTGTATTGTCTAAAAGGGGCAGTACTGGGAGGTGGGTAGGGGGCGGAACCAAGGGATGATGCTCGGAGGTAGGAAGGGGGCAGAGACAGGGATGACTCAGAAGGGGGGAATTCCTACGCCTATTCTCTGAGAAAAAAAAGCCCTGCAGGTTCATTTTTAGCACCTGCATCTAGCCCCCTCCATCTAGCAACCTCTACTTTAATCCAGGCTTCAAAACTATGGAAGAAGCAGGCCATAGCATGCCAGATGTGGAGCAGCAAATAAGGAAGCTCAGGGGGCGTTGTGATGTATAACCGCAGTAACTCCCACAATCAGGACCTTGATCAGTGCAAGAGGACTTGGGAGGAAGTTTGCAGTGAGCTTTCACCGATTGGGACAGTTACCAAGCCTCCATGAAAAAAGAAAAGGTAATCTTATTTATTTCTTTATGACATGCTGCTTACTTATATGGTAATTATTGCAGTAAAATGTACACTCATAAATGACATTTCTGCCTCCTAAAATTGTTATGGTGTATGTTAACTTTTAAGGCATCCATATAGCTGTTGTTCAATATTTAAATAGCATACAGACTCTGAAATGTCAACCATGGGAGAGGTTCTGGTGATACAGCAGTGTTGCTGCACCAATAAATCTGTACGTTTAAAGGATTAAGGTCATTTGAATAAAACACGGACAGGAATAACCAGAAGCAAATCACATTTTTTAATGTTAACCTGTTACCTAAGGCCATGCTTTTGTTCTGTTGGGTTGACATGTTTGTATAAAACATTTTTAGTACATGTTAAGATTACCATACACATCACAATCTGATAGCAATTATTCATTTAACGTTAGATTTAACAAACAATGTAATATGAGGACCTTCTTAAACTATCCATTCAAATTGTATTTTATAAGGCAGGTCCTTGCACTGCATAGATGTTGGCATTTCTAAATTTGAATCCTTACCATGCAGTGGTATAGCCCTGGTTCACACTGTGCGGACTGGTTGTGGGTGTGGATATCACATTATTATTATACAGGATTTATATAGCGCCAACAGTTTTCTCAGCACTTTACAATATAACAAGAGACAATACAGCAAGCAACAATACAGTTCAATACAAGAGGGTTAGGAGGGCCCTGCTCCTTGGAGCTTACAATCTAAGAGGGAGGGGCTAGTGGTACAAAAGGTAGTAACTGTAGGGGATGGACTGGTAGGAGGAGTAGAAGATTCCATTATTAGCTGAGGGCAGGATAGGCTTCCCTGAAGAGTTAAGTTTTCAGAGATCGCCTAAAAGTGAGCAGAGTAGGCGATAGTCTGATAAATTGGGGTAGAGAGTTCCAGAGGATGGGGGAAACTCTGGAGAAGTCCTGGAGACAAGCATGGAAGGAGGAGACAAGGGAACTAGAGAGCAGGAGATTGTGCGAGGAGCTGAGAGTACGGTTTGGGTGATATTTGGAGACAAGATTTAAGATGTAATTTGGGGCAGAGTTATAAATGTCTTTATATGTTATTGTTAATGTTTTGAATTTTATCCGCTGGGCAATGGGAAGCCAGTGGAGGGATTGGCAGAGAGGGGTGGCAGATATGGAACAGTTAGTAAGGCAGATAAGTCTGGCAGCAGCATTCATGATAGACTGAAGAGGGGATAGCCTGCGATGAGGTTGGACAATGAGGAGGGAGTAACAATAGTCAAAGCGAGAGATAACCAGGGAGTGAATAAGTTGCTTAGTAGTTTCAGAGGTTAAAAACAGCAGTATCTTGGAGATGTTGCGGAGGTGAAGTCTACATGATTTGAACAGCATTTGGATTTGGGACTGAAAGGACAGATGGGGGTCTAGGATTACACCTAGTACCCTGGCATGAGGGTAGGGACTGATGATTGTATTATTGGTCTTGATGGAGAAGTCAGGGGAGGGGGCACGGGCTGGAGGGAATACTAAGAGCTCAGTTTTGGAAAGACTGAATTTGAGGAAGTGGAGTGACATCCATTCCGATATGTCACTTAGTAGGTTAGTAATGCGAGAGGAGACTGAAGGGGTGAGGTGAGGAGTAGAAAGATAGATTTGTGTGTCATCAGCATAGAGATGGTACTTAAAGCCATGGGAGTTTATCAAGTGACCAAGGGAGGAGATGTAGATGGAGAAGAGAAGGGGTCCAAGGACAGAACCTTGAGGAACCCCTACAGAAAGAGGGAGTGGAGAGGAGGAGACAGAGTTATAGGTAACGCTGAAGGAGCACTGCGATAGATAGGAGGAGAACCAGGAGAGAGCAGGCCAAGAGAGTGGAGTTTTTTGAGGAGGAGGGGATGGTCAACAGTATCAAAGGCCGCAGAGAGGTCAAGTAGTAAGAGTACAGAGTAGTGGCCATTGGTTTTAGCAGTTAGTAGATCATTAGTGAGTTTTAGTAGGGCAGTTTCAGTGGAGTGTAGTGAGCGAAAGCCATACTGTGAAGGGTCAAGAAAGCTGTTGTCAGTAAGGTAGGAGCTCAGATGATTGTAGACTAAGAGTTTAGAGGTGAATGGGAGCAGGGAGATAGGTCTTAAGTTGTTTATGTTGGTGGGGTCCAGGGAGGCTTTTTAAGTATGGGAGTGATGTGTGCATGCTTTAGAGGGTGGGGAAGGTACCATTAGAGAGGGAAAGATTGAAAATGTGAGTGAGGGAGCATAGGATGGAAGAAGAGGGTGACCGTAGTAGTTGTGAGAGGACAGAATCCAGGGGGCAGGTAGTGAGATGGGCTTCTGAGAAAACCTTAGTGATCTCTTCAATAGTAGCAAGGTCAAAAGAGGAAAGTGTTGAGGGAGGTTTAGTATAAGGTATGCTAAGTGGGATGGATGTCTGTGCAGTGGCGATGCCCCTATGAATTGCATTAATCTTGTTTTTGAAATGATTTGCAATCTCGTAATGAGTGAGTGAGGTGCTGGGTGGAGGTGAAGGTGGAGAAAGTAGAGTTAAAAGTAGAGAAGAGACGATGAGGACTGGATGGCAAGCTATTGATGAGAGTGACAAAGTAGGCTTGTTTGGCAGTATGGAGGGAGGAATTGTATGTTAATGAAGCAGATTTATATAGGGTGAAAGCTTGGTGTGATTTGGTTTTACTCCACATTCGCTCCAGCGCACGACTATGTCTCTTAAGATTTCTGGTGTCGTCTGTCTGCCAAGGTTGTAACGGTCGGAGCCTGATGCTTCATGCGGTTAGAGGAGCAAGTGAGTCTAATGTGGATGAAAGTGAACTGTTGTGGAAAGCAGTGGCCAGGTCAGGGCAGTACAAGGGAAATATTCTGTCTCAGAGGTGGTTAGTTGCAGAGTAGAAAAGAGAAGGGTTAAACTTGTGAAGGTTTCTGCAGGTAATTGTTTGCTGCTTGGAGGAATAGGTGTTTGAAGACAAGGAAACTGTGAAGGTGATGAGATTGTGATCAGAGAGAGGAAAGGAGGTGTTTGTGAGGTTTTAGAGAGTGCAAAGACAGGAGAAGACAAGGTCTAATGTATTCCCATCAGAGTGAGTGGAGGACTGTGTCCATTGCGTTAAGGCAAAAGATGAGGTTAGGTTGAAGAGTTGGTATGTAGCTGGGTTGTTGACATTAATAGGGATGTTAAAATCTTCAAGAATGATAGTGGGTATTTCAGAGGAGAGAAAGTAGGGTAGCCAGGCAGAGAAGTCATCAAGAAAGCGGGACACTGGTCCAGGAGGTCAGTAGATCACTGCAATCCTCAGAGAAATGGGAGAAAACAGCCAAATGCAGTGAGTCTCGAAAGAAGAGAAGGATAGAGAGGGAGGGTTATGTTGGACTTGAAAGGTGCTCAGTGGCGATAGAAGCAAGCCAACTCCACCACCTTTTTGACCACTGGGTCTGGGTGAGTGAGTCCAAAGAAGGCCTCCATAGGAGAGTGCTGCAGAAGAAGCAGAATATGCTGCTTGAAGCCAGGTTTCTGTAATTGCTAGTAGGTTAAGGAGCGGGAGACAAACAGGTCATAGACAGAGGTGAGCTTATTACAGACAGAGCAGGCATTCTAGAGTGCACATGAAAAAGGGAGGGTGGTTTTTAGGAGCACGGGGATTGAGATTAGATTAAACAGATTGTGGCTATTCCCAGAGGAAAAAGAGGGTGCATGGTGTGGGGGTGAGATAGTGGAGGACCAGGGTTTGGGGAGCTATCCCCAGAGGTTCCCACACAAGCATCCACCTGCAGCCAAATCACCCTGCTCTTACAAAACATGCGGGGCACCCCAATGCGTCTCAGCCAGCAGCTTGGGTGCGGGATCAGCAGGGAAATTGCATGGTCAAAAAGACCATGCAATTTCCTTGTGGCCTCCTTTTTAAAAATCTGCATGCACTTTTTTTGTGGAAAACACAGGC